CCTCCCCATTGCATTGTACGCCGATTCAGTGCGGTACTCACCACTTCATGCTGGGCGCACGGACAGCGTCTTGAATGTGAGCGTGGTTAACTTGCTAGCGAAGCGTCGACATTACATTGGCTTTCTGCGAACACTTGGCAAATGCGACTGCGGGTGTGCAGGGCACTGTGCACTATATGCATTCATGCATGTTGTCTGGTGGCAGCTCAAAGCGCTGGTCAGAGGGTGTGCTCCAGATGTGCAATGCGATGGGACTCCGTGGGCCGTCGCTGGTGCTGCGGGGAAGATCTTGGGTGTAGGGCGGTGTTAATGTACGTCGAAGGGGACTGCGCGGATTTATCGCATTCGTTCGGTCTGTCATCTTGATCGAGCCTGTATAACCCTTGTCCGTGCTGCGCGTCGCCCTTGGATCCCATCAATGTTTGCTATCCTGGATTTGTTTGCCCCGACGGGATGGTTTTCCCACATCGCACCCCGCAATCTTACCACGATGCATGTGATGCGTGTGAACGTATTATCAGCATGGATTCAGATATCAGACGAAATCAGATATTAAGCATGCTAACTTTCGTGGAACCAACCGCAAAAAAGACGGGGGCTTGTTGTGACACATGAAATCGACGGGGTGCCACTTCAGATGGGAGATGCGTTACTTCCCTCGCCGTCGCTTCTAGACATCAGGGAAGTCTGGACCAAGCCAGTACCGCTTGACTGCGTGTTTTGGCGGGTGAGGCGGGACGGCGCGGGTGTTTCGATTGACCCAGTGACCCGCCGCAGCCCAGTATTCTCTGACGATTTGAAGTCGAGCCCTGCATCTACGCTGGCGCTAGACGTGCTCCACGCAGTTCATTTAGGCGTGACGCAGCGACTGGGATCAGCAATACTGCGGAGGATCATACTCGCAAGCGTGTATTTCAAGCGATCAGCACAGCAGAGAGTAAAGTGCGTCGAAGCAGATATGCATGCATGGTTCCAGGAACATCACATCCCACATGAGCAGAGGCTGGGGAGGCTCACGCCAGGCATGATCGGCGCGAGGTGCAAAGTCAAGCGGGCAAGAGGGGCCCCCTTCCCAGGATGCCCGATGAAAATTAAAGGAGCAGAGATGTCGACGTTGATCGTTTTTTTTTTTTTTTGCAGAGACCTGCTGGAGAGATATCTCGATCGTGTGCCGCACGGGGGGCCCCTCATGATGTCTGTTGGCGCTTTGCTGGAATGGACCCGCGTGACGAAAGATATGGGTGCGCAGCCTAGCCATGCCGACTACGCATCTGCATTGGAGGCCGCATCGCGGGTAATGTACCACGCGCAGGTTGCGCTTGTGAGACTGACCCCCAAGTGGCACTTATTCTGTCACTTGACCCACAGGACCAATCCATCTTGTGTTTTCGGGGGCGGAGGAGTCGTCGTCACAAGCGCCAATTTTCAAAGCGCCCAAACATCTGAATTATTTATGGGCCCCTCCTAACCCTCCACCTCGTCTCTGGGCGTCTGTCTTGGGTGTGCCCCCCCGTCTCGGAGTGAGTGTGATAGCGATACATGTACTTGTATATATATATGTGTGTATATATATATCCAGCGTGTGAGAGAGAGAGAGAGAGAGAAAAAAAAAAAAAAAAAACAATATCTATAGAGCTGTATAATGTATATACTCAGAGAGTGAGAGAAACAATTTCGCAAATAACAAAATAACTGCGTTCGAAGGGACAAAAAGGATAGCGACGATCGGTTGCCCGCGCCACCCCCCGATCCACTCGTCTAGCCAAACGCCCGCCTGGACTACCTGGGGGATTTTGGGGGTTGCGCGCGGGCGGGGTAGCGGGCGGGCGCAGTAGATCGGGGCACTCGCGCGAGCAGCTGATCATCGGAACGTCGATCGCTCTCCTAAGGATCAGCGAGTTCGGCCCGCCGCGTTTGCATTCTACCTTTACTGATGAGTCTCTGAACCTCACCGTCCGCAATCTGGCTCAGCGGTGCCACAGGTTGACTTTCTCTCGGACGCTGCGCCACCACATCAGAGTTCTAGGCAGTCTTGGCCATTCTAAATATATTTACGCGCCCCCCATCAAGAAGCATGGCCGAGGTTCTGGGTTTGGGCCGCGGCGTGCCAGACTGGCTAGCAGCTAGAGTGAGACAGGGATGGCCGGACGCAACCGGTCACGTTCTTGCATGCGATAATTCTGATATCCTGATGGAAGCAGCATCGGGTGAGGTTGCTCGATGGATCGCGGGGGATCTGCCAGTTACCTTGGTTCGCTACCTAGATTGTTTCGAATAATTCTGCGGCGCTGGTGGGGTCACCAACAAGTTGATCACCAAAGGATTGAAAGCTCGTGGTTTCGACAGGCCGCGAAGGGTTCAAAATGCACCACATTCATCAGTTCGCACACCCCCGAAGCCGGTTCGTTTTTGCAACGTCACCGCACCGTATCTCGAATCATACAGAGTGGCATGGTCGTGACTTGGGCGCCACATGTTTACGCGTCTGAAATCCGCGCCAACCCACGCAGAAGCCCTGCCCACGAGAGCTGACGGAAAATGGAACGCATAACGCTGATGGTAAGACATACCAGTCAAAGAGAGGAGGGGGAGGAAGGCGCTGGGTCATTTTGAGGGCTATCTTTGAGCATCAGATGCCTTATTGGAGCTAGGCAGCGTCGTGGGGTCCTCTTGGAGCTCTTTGGGGGCGTTTTAAGCGCCTCCGCCTCCTGAGGCCATCTTGGGGACCATCGATCAAAGGAGGGGGGGGGTTAGAGTTTCGTCGCCCCTCCTGGGCCATCGAAATATTGGGGCCATCTCGGGGCGATCTTGGGCGCTCTTGGGGTTGTTTCGGGCGGCGCCTCGTGCCCTTCTCGGGGCTCTCTGGGGCCCTCGCGGGGCCATCTTGAGACCTCAAACAGTGCATCGGAAGCGAAACTGCGACAATGCCAACCCATGTGTTTGCGTTGAAAGACGCTGGCTTCTCGGGGGGGGGGCCTGAGAGGTCACTGGAAGCAGCTTCATCCGTATCGCTGCTTTCTCTGGGTCTCTTTTGCTAGCTATTTTGGGACTTGAGCGATTTGGGGTGCCATCTTGGGCTCTCTGATGCCCTCTTGGAGCCATCTCGGGCCATCTTGAACGAGCTGGCCGCTCGCGCCCACCCCCGTCCAGGTCCAGGGGAGGGGCGATGGAGTACATCCACTCGAAAGTGAAGGTTTGCTGTTGCGGAAGAGGACGCGACTACACTGTCAGACCGCATGGCACCCACAGGGCTGGTGCGATTTGGACGCAATGTGGACGCGTCCACATTGCGTCCAAAACACGCCAAACAACGTCTAATGTGCGTCCAAATTGCGCCCGTGTCGCGTCCAAATGGCGCCCAAATCGCGACCAAGTCGGTTTGGATGCGACTTGGACGCGTCCAAGTCGCGTCCAATTAGGTATGGCGCAAGTGACGTTGTAAATGTGATGGTCTAGTGCAGGCGTACATCGCATGTATCTGAGGACGTGCGTACGCTGCAGGGGCTCCTCACATGTGCGATGCGCGTGCTGCAGATCAAGCCTGGTGGCGCGCTCATGACCGAGCCCGAGTGCAGCGCGTGGGCGGGCGTTGCGACGGGCCGCGCGATGAGGGGCAGGGGCGCAAATATTCTCGGCGACGAGAGCAGGAGGGACGTTCTCGAAGCGAATTTCGTGGCAGTGATAATGCCACAGCCTTAACACACGACCGACAATCCTGGCTGCAGGGGTCGGGTGGATGATCGGGCGAGCGATTGTTGACGGACTTAGTTATGTCAGGCAGTGCGACCTCACGCAGTGGTTTGACCACGCAGGGCAGCTATTGCTCGATCGGTCGCCTCGGCAACGCGTCGATCGCGGCGAATGGTAGACTCTCGCTCCCCCCCCCGCAACGCCATGCTGCAATGTCAGCCCCGCCCCTGCAATATCACCCCCCCTGCCTCCACCGCCAGCGTGCGTCTCCCCTTCGCCGCCGCTCCCTTTCACCCGTTCGCTCCAAACGCCACCTGTCCACGTCTCCCGCCCCGCACCGGCGGCGCTGTCATCGACGATCGCCCGCCCCGCGCCAACCCGCCCTCCGATTGCTACCCAGGTCGTGGTTGATGATTTTGGCTGACGCTCGCGGCGTGAAGGTTATATTGGAGAACCCTTCGTGTTCCATCTTGTGGCACGTTAGCTCCATTAAGGCCAATCGCCCGCACTGCCGCTTTTTTGTTTTCTCTCTCTCTATATATATATATATATAGATCTCTCTCTCTCTGTTTGTCTCTCTCGCTCTCTCTTTCTCTTTCTCTTTCTCGCTCTCTTTCTATTTCTCTTTCTCTTTCTGTATTTCTTTATTTCTCTCTCTCTCTCTCTCTCTCTCTCGCTCTCTCTTTCTCTTTCTCTTTCTCATTATCTTTATTTCTCTTTCTCTTTCTCTTTCTCTCTCTCTCTCTCTCTCTCTCTCTCTCTCTCTCTCTCTCTCTCTCTCTCTCTCTCTCTCTCCCTCGTCCGGTCGCCCGCTTTGTCTCGGTGTCCGTGCCCCGCCTTTGTTCGCTCGTTTTCTCAGTCGCTCGCCGTCTCTCTCCATATCTCGTTCCCCTGCATTCCCAAGAGAACGCGAGTGTGCGCCCCCCTGTTGCCTTTACAGAATCGCCCCCCCGCCCCCGCCCCTCCGCGGTTGGCCCCGTTCCACCGCCACCTGGAGCGCTGAGACTTTTTCTTGGGGGGGCGGCGGAGGGGCAGGGGGGGCGACGAACAGGAAATGCAACGCATTGAGGGAACACTGACAGCTGGCGGCTTATCGCATCATCCTCATCACCCGCCCTCATCGCCCATCGACGTCGAAATCTATTCACCAGCCTACTCGCCCCCCGCCACCGACTACAGACACGAAACCAGGTAGACCCAGGCTAACATTATGCCGCCGTTCTCACCGACTTCTCGCCGTAAGCTGTTCGGCTCCAGCGATCTCCGCCCGCGCCCGCGCCTCGCAGCCGCCGCTGGCGCCGAGGCGATCGATGGCAGAGCCAGTGGTCACCCTCGACGGTGCGAACAAGGTGATGAGGTGGTGTTGGATGGCGGATTGGCGCTGCTTCGTGCCAGTCTGGTTCCCAGTGGCGGGGGGGGGGGCAAGTGCCCGTTGAACCCGCTCCCAAAGCAGATCAAGCAAGAGTTGGTCGAGTCGTTCTCCCACCTGCGCAGCGCCTTCACCGACGACGAGGCTCAGACAGCCATCAAGCCGTTCGCGACCGAGCGCGGTGAGCGGCAGTGGCTCTACAACGAAGACCCAGACATCGGCGATGAGTTCCCTGATAACGGCTGGGTCGTCAACAAGAAGACGGCGATCGCCGTCGTCGTGGATTGGCCGACAGGCCCGCTCGCGCGCGATCAGAAGGGCGGCGACGGCGACGGCGACAAGCAGGGCAACGACTCCGCCACCGACGGCAACAAGCAGAAGGGCAGCGGCTCCGCCAACGACTGGTACGACGATCAGTACGGCTACAAGAAGGAATACGACGACTACAAGAAGCAGTACGACAGCGAGTACAAGGAGCGCTTGGACGACCTTGAGACTGCGGGGAAGACGAGCGCAGGAGGGCTTGACCCAGGGTTACGGCTCGTTGTGACCAAGAAGGCGTTCAAGACGATTTCATCGAAGATGATCGAGGATGCAGTGGAGAAGGCGTGCAAGGCGGGTTTCAGGTCGGCCATCAAGATTGCCCAGGACCAGCAGCTGAACGAGTGCTCGCGCGAGTCTGGCAACTCGAGCACCTCGTGGCTCCACGCGAGCGCCAGCTGAGCTCGCGCGAAGGCGCCAGCATCAGAGTGGCAGCAGAGCGAGTGCACTCCTCGGACCAGCCTGGTCCTTTCGGCCATCTTGGCCGCGCGCGCGCAGAGTTAAGAGATCAGTCGGCCTGCCTGGCCTCAAAAAACACATGTGGCCATGGTCTTGGCGTTAGATCGCAAGCCCCAGAGTGCCGTCGCGGCTGCTGGGCGCACGTCGCCAAATTTTGCTATCGGCGTTAGATCGCAAGTCCCAGCGTGCCATCGCGGCTGCTGGGCGCACGTCGCCAAGTTTTGCTCCAGCGGAGAGGAGGATCGATCGGAAGGGGCGGACGACGCGTGCTACCTGTTGAGGGTGTGCGCGGGTGGTGCAGGATAGTCCAATCGTTGCAGCGCCGGCTCGGGCCCGCCGCATTCTCGCGAATGGGGCGGGGCACTGGGTGGCGACCTTTCCCTGAGCACTGCCGAATTCACGTTTCTCTGCTGCTCGACAATGCCCCCTGTCTTGCCTGCGAGTCATCTACTCGTTCAACTCCTCGCCCCCGCCCACCCCCCCCCCTTGTCGAGTTCTAGACGCCTCGCGCATCCCCGCCAGCCCATCCAGAATCGACGCCAATGCGAGATGAGGGGCGACCAGGGAAGCGCAGGAGCAAAGAGGGGGGGGGGGGGGCTGCCGAGCCGCGTGAAGGAGAGAGGGGAGGGGGCGAATGAGAAAGTTGGATGGATGGATGAGGGAGTAGGGAGAAGGGGGGACACGTGAGATGATGATGAGGAGGAGGCGGAGGGGGAGGATGAGGGCGAGAGTGGACAGGAGGAGGAATGAAGAGGAGAGCAAGCAAAAGGGCCAGAGGTATCCTGGATGCTCCTCGGAGCCGCTTGCTGCATCTCTTGAGCGTCTTAGGACGTTTTGGGGGTCTCTGGGTGGTCGTGGGTGGGTGGTGGTGGTGGTGGTGGTGGTGGTGGTGGTGGTGGTGGTGGTGGTGGTGGTGGTGGTGGTGGGGTGGGGGGCTTCTCGGCGTCTTGGGTGCATTGGGTGGGCCTTTTGGTGCCGCCTGGGATCCTTGCGGGGGCCTCCTGGAGGTCTCTCGGGGTTGGCTTGGGGCCATCTCGGGATCTCTGCCCGGGGGCCTCCTGGCCCCTGCTTGGCCATTTTGGAAGAGATCGATCAAACCTGGGGCCAAAACCCATGAGGTCAAACAGGATGCCCAAATGGAGCCAAAATGCGGCCACCACCCCAGGAGCCAAAGCGCCCAGGTATAAGGGCGCGGGGGCAGGAGGGAGGGGGGGGGGGTAAACCTCCCCCCGAAGGGGAAGAAGGAGGGGTGGGAGAGGAAGCACCCTAAACCACCTACGCCCAGAGGGCTGGTGAGATTTCACCTTCAGCCGCGCCTGGCCGAGAGCTTGCCGCGGGTGCCGTGACTGCCCCAAGTGGCCCGACGTTCAGCGCGATACCGATGGGGGGCGCATGTACACGTGTCCCCCATCGGTATCATGGCTGGGAGATGCTGCAATGTTTCGCGTCGCCCCCTTTCAAGCATCGGCGCCCCGCCCGCCCCTGGTGCCCCCGTGATGTCGTACTCTGCCCTCCTGGCAATGTCGGTTCCCCATCTCTCTCGTTCTCCCTCGCTCTTTCTCTCTCCCGATTGCTCTCTCATCTCTCCCCCTGCCCCTTCCTTCTGCGCCCCGCCTCGGCCCGATCTCCGATCTTGCCCACCCCCGTCGATGCCGCCCGTTCGCAGCCGCTCCTGGCAGGCCGGCCTGAACCTGATTAACGCTGGCAAACTGACAACGTACCTCGCATTCTTCGGCAGGACAAGTTTAAAGCCGCTTGCTATTTTTACCACTCACTCTCTGTCTGCTGCTCGCATGCACATAGGCGCTTCCGAGAGGGGCGCATCGCGTTCTCTTTCGGCTTCGGGCTCCCACGCCCCCCTAACGACGTTAGGCCCGCGTGTTTCAAACCGTGATCGGGCCGGTGCAAATGGAAAGGCTGCCACGGGATGGAAGACCAGAGCTTGGGTCAATAAGACCAAAGATCAGGCCTCGTCCAAAGAATACCCCTCGGCGTTTTGCGAAGCTGTCGCAGAGTTCATAGCGCAGACGCGCTGGACACACCGTGCGCGCGGCGCTGTGTATATATATATATATATGTATACATGTGTATACATATACACCATATAACTGCAACTGACAGCGCGCCAACGCGCGTTACACGCACGCACACGATGTATTTCATAATGACACGCGTGTTATGACTAGCCAGCCAGCCGACGTTGCCCGCGCCCGAGCAAACCCAGCCAGCCATCGCTGCCACAGCCGCCTGGAATTATGAGCGCAGCGTGGACGGGATGGTGGGATGGAGGAATTTAGCTAAGATGATGAGTGCGAGGTCCGTGGTAATCGTACTGTGATGATCGAATGCGCCCACGGCGAATCACCGCCGCCCCCTGCCTTTAGGATGTGCCGCGCTATTGGGCCATGTGTTTCCCCAGCCTTTGTGGAAGCCCTTCGGAGAACACATATATCCGCATTCGCGCGAATGCCAGTGCATGTGAAATCCTCATCCACCTCGCGTGCAACGCGTCTTCTTCTCGCAATCGCATCGCTGCCCCGCTGTCCCCCCCCTTCCTCCAGCACTCCTACCAGTCGATCTCGTCGGCTCGAGATTCGGCGAAGCGCCGCCGATCCGATCGATGCTCGAGCTCATAATTCTATTGCTATCAAGTGGACGCGAGGCCGTTCCACGCTCCATGCGAGGATTTGTTCTAGAATATTCTTCAGGGGCCAACAGGTGGCCCCAACTTGCTCAAACTAGCGGCCAGGAAGGCTTGCTCTGTAGATTGCTGCGCGTGTCGGGCAGTTATCTCCTTGGCCGCCAGCCCGAGAAATCGCGGGTCGCCCGCTGGCCCCTGGAGAATTCTCGAGATCCTCGCAAAGAGCGTCGAACGTCGTCGCGCGCAGTATTTCGATAGTTACAAAACATGGAAACGATCGAATATGACAAAACCCTCCTAAACCAGCATGATATACTAAAACAAAATAAGAGCAAACATCACGTTCTTAAATTAAGATCCTGGCGGCCCCTGGACCGTTTCCCATTGCACCGGGAATGCTTCGCCTGAAAGGCTGCGCATCGTCCGCGGCGCGTTCCCGCGAGCTCGCCCCCCGCCTCTGCCGCCCCTTGCGGCCCCCCTCCTTCCCCCCTCCCCGCCCAGAATTCCTCCCCATCCGGCTTCGCAATCGGGCCCCCCGCGTCGCCCTCCGCCTGCCCGGCAAGGCGCGGCGGGGTCGAATCGACGTCGGCGGCGCGCTGGATCGAATCCAGGGGTTCGTTGCCAGCGCGCGCCGCCGCCGATTTTGGCCACCAGCGAGAGGCGCAAGTCGAAAAGGCCTTCTTTGCAATCCCCCTTCCCGCCCCTTCTGGCCAAACCGAAAACGGCAATGGGCGGCGACGCTCGCGCGGCGCCTGGAGGCGGCGCGAATCCAGAGACTTCGCGCACGCCGCGGAATCGCATGGCGATCGCAGAGGAGGAAGCCCCGCCAGACTACCCGCCCACGTCAGCGGCGGGCGGCTGGACACAGCGCGCGAACGCGCGGGGCAGAATTGCGCGCGAGGCGGGCGGGAGAGCCGCCGCGCCAGCGAGGCAAATTTCTTAGCCGAAAACCGCAGAACGAGTCGACGTGCGCGCGACGCACGGGGCTGGCCGGCGCCCGCGGGCCCTGGGGCGGCGGGGTGCGCGAGGCGAGGGCGGGGGGGCCCCCGCCCCCTCGGGCCAGCAGCGGGCACGCGGCGACTGCGAGCCAAAGCGAGCGGCGGGATTGCGAGAACGACGCGCGCGGGGCAGGGCGCGGCGCCAAGTGGGAACTGTCCGAACCGCAAACAGCAAAACGCGGCGAGGCCACGCGTCGCGCCTGGGGCTCCCAGAAGAGCCGCAAACTCGCGCCTGGGCCTGGCGGACTTCGCGAAGCGACGGCGGGGGGGGGGCCCGCCAAGCCACCCGTTCGGGCCAGCGGCGGGCGCGCCGAGACACGCCGTGATCGCGCCGCCCCCGTTCTTCCGTTCAGGACAATTCTTCATTGGGCGTCACGCGGCTCCCCATGCTGCGTCGTCCAGCAAATTTCCGTCGTCGGTGTCGTCGTCGTCGTCGTCGTGATCGCCGTCGCCGTCGTCGTGGCCGCCACCGCCACCGTCGTCTCCGTTTTCGTCGTCGTGGTGGTCGTCGTCGTGGTCGTCGTGGCCGTGATTGTCGTCGTCGTGGACGTCGTCGTCGTTGTCGTCGTCGTCGTCGTCGCCGCCGTCGTCGTCGTCGTCGTCGTCGTCGTCGTCGTCGTCGTCGTCTTCGTCGTCGTCGTTTTCGTCGTCGTTTTCGTCGTCGTCGTCGTCGTCGTCGTCGTCGTCGTCGTCGTCGTCGTCCGTCGCCCACCGCCATGTCGTCGTCAGTCGTCGTCCTTTCTTGCCCTTCCCCTCTCTCTTCCTCCCGCCCGCCTCCCGCTGATTAGCACAATTCGCGCGGGGCCCCAGGAGCCCCGGAGCCCCCCAGGCCGACTGACAAAATTTGCGCCGCATGTAAAAAATTGATGTTGCTGTACGTTGGTCCTCGGGATCGCGGCGGCCGCGGTCGCCGCGGTCGTCGTGGCCGTCGTCGCGGTCGTCGCCATTGTCGCCGCCGCCGTCGCGGTCGTCGTCGCCGTCGGCGACGTCGTCATTTCCGTCGTCGTCGTCGTCGTCGGCGTGGTCCGGCGTCCGCCCGTCGTCTGTCGAAGGCAGCTGCCGCCGTTCCTCGCACCCCCCGCGCCGCCCCAATTTCTCTACCCCTCCCCACTACTCAACAGACCCGCGCGGGGTCCCAGGGGTTCGGGGCCCCCCCAAGCAGCCTCGCATCATTCCCTGCGTGGAGCTTCTATATGTGTATATCATGATCGTGTCGTCTCTCGCTGAGAAACTCTGTCTGGGTATCCGTGAGAAACTACGTGTGTACCATAGCTGCTATTCCACAAGCCAGGCTGCAGAGCCTG